GGGTTGTCACTGTCAGTTCAATTTCCTTAATCATGTTACTCATTTTACCTATTTCCTCTTGAGTAAGCTTGAGTATTTAGTGATTCTCAGGGAATTTGTCCATCTCATCTAAATTGTCAAAATTTATTGGCATAGAACTGTTCATAACATTTTCTTGTTAGCCTTTTAGTGTCAATAGAATTTGTAATTTATCACCTCTCAAATTTCTGATATTATAGTCTCTTCTCTCTTTATTGATCCTCTTAAAGAATGAGCTTTTATTTTTGTTAATTTTCTCTATTGCTTTTCTGTTTTCTATTTCATTGATTTCTCTTTTTTTAAAGGTTTATTTATTTATTCGTGATAGACAGAGAGAGAGAGGCAGAGACACAGGCAGAGGGAGAAGCAGGCTCCATGCCGGGAACCCGACGTAGGACTCAATCCCGGGACTCCGCGCCCTGGGCCAAGGGCAGGCACTAAACCGCTGAGCCACCCAGGGATCCCCTATTTCATTGATTTCTGATCAGACTCTTATTTTTTTCTCCTTACTTTGGTTTTAATTTACTTTTCTCTTTCTAGTTTCTTAAGATAGAAGCTGAAGCCATAGGTTTGAGGTCTTTCTTCTAATATATGTGTCTAGATATTTTTTCCCCTAAGTACTACATTGGCAATACACTACCAAATTTGATATATTGTGCTTTTATTTTCACTTAATTCAAAATACTTTTTCATTTCCCTTTCCATTTCTTCTGTGACCTATGAGTTATTTAGAAGTATGTTATGTAGTTTTCACCTATTTGGGGATATTCCAGAGATCTTTTTGTTATTGTTCTGTTCACATACTTCTCTGTGGTTTAAGTATGTACTTTATATGACTTTGAATCCTTTAATATTTACTGAAACTTGCTTTATGGACCAGAATATGGACCCTCATGGTAAATATTCCATATGCATTGAAAAGAAAGTATATTTACCTTTTGTTGGGTAAAGTACTCTATAAATGTCAATTAGGTCAAGATGGTTGACAGCATTGTTCGCTTTGGTATCTTTACCAATTCATTCATTCTACATGTTTTATTAACTATTGATAGAGTGAAATTGAAATCTTTGAATATGAATGTGGATTTGTCTATTTCTCCTTGCAATTCTATCAGTTTTTGTTTCATGCATTTATTTATTTATTTATTTATTATTGTTTATTGGAGTTCGATTTGCCAACATATAGTATAACACCCAGTGCTCATTCCATCTGCTTCATGCATTTTAAAGCCCTGTTATCAGGTGCATAAGTATTTAGGATTATTATTATCTTATTAATGACTTGATTTCTTTATCATTGTGAATTACTTTCTTTATTCTCATTAATATATTCTTTGTTCTAGAATAGACTCTGCCTGATATTAATATGCAGTTTCTCTTGGCTAGTATTAATATGGTGTATATTTTTCCAGCCTTTTGCTTTTAACTTATTTGTGTCATAATGTTTAAACTCTACTTCTTGAAAGCAGCATATAGTTGGGTTTTCTCAACTTGGAGAGTCTGCCAGGCACTGCCTGGATATTCCCTTCCTGTGTCATGGCCTTAAAACTCTTTAGGCAATAATAGGGCTCCTTTTGTTTGTTTTCCACTTGTTAGGAACAAGTTTTGGGCTAGAATGAGGTGGGTAAGTCCCTAGGGTACAAAAATTTAAGTTTTCAGAATGGATTTCCCTTTAAATGCAGTTTTAAGAATGGATTTCTCTTTAAATATTGTATCTTAGGCATCTCACCCTTAAGAAGACACTCACTTTCAGAGTTGTACAAGTACAAGGCTAGTACCTGAGAGTAAATGCCTCCTTTAGTTTTGCACTTTTGGAGCTTCATTTAAGTCACCCTAGTCCCAGCCCTACTGAAGAATCACTGTCCTGTGTTGCCTGATGTCTAGTGTCTTAGAAAGAATTTTTTAAAAGTATATTTTGTTTGGATTTTTTTAAAGTTATTTCAGTTGGAAAGTAAGTTCAGTCTCTGTTACTCCATCTTTTCTGGAAATGAAAGTCTGAACTTATTCTTTATGAGATAAAAATCCAGATATAGAACTATCTGACTGAAATACAAATTCTTGACCTCCCTGCAAAGAATTCAACCAAAAAATTGGTTTTCCTTTATTCAGCAGACAACCAGTGAGCACCTATTATATACCATAGTCTTGGCTAGGAAAGGGGATTAAAATCAAATAAGACATGGTGCCTTTCTAATAGTCGCTCATAGCTGGCTGCCTTAGAACTATTAGCTCTCTCATGCCATGCATCACCTGTGAAATGGGTCAGGGAAGGCAGAGAACCAGAGAAAGTCAGACTTAGAACTGGCAGATTGTCTCTACGAATTGCCATGCCCAGAATGGCTCACTTCAGCTCACATAAGTGGTAGGTAGTAGCTGATTGTTCTGTAGTCTCTTTTGAAGGGTATGGAGGACAGACCTAACCCCAAATATCTTCCTTTACTGTGAGTTACCATGACTGAAACCCCACCATTTGAACATCACTCATTAACAGCGGGACCATGTCTTATTCATGTTTGCGTTTTTCAGTGTTAGCTCAGAGCCTGCAACAGGGTAATCAGTAGATGAGTAAATGAGTGAATAAATGAATGAGTGAATGAATAAATGAATGATAAATGTTAAAATGATGACTATGCCTCTGGGTGGTGGACTTAGGTTATTATCTGTTGGGGATAAGTAGACCATTAAGAGCAAGCCCATAGCTGGGGCCCATGATAGAAGGCCATGTGGTATAGTACCTAAGATCTCTAACTCTACTGGACCTTGATCTAAGTCCCTTAACCTTTCCCAAACACAGTTTCCTTATCTGTGAGATGGAAATCTTAGTCATCCTTACCTAGTAGAGGGATACCAGGTTCTATCAGAATAAAGTATGTCAGAGGGCTGGCAAGAGGAAACCCTCAAGGAATGTCAAATGTTGTTAGTAGAGTCTTCTGGGAACAGCAATTGGGAATGGGGCAGGGGCTGCTGGATGACAGACACCTTGAGACAGTCCTGACTAGGTAGCAGAAAGATATAGACTGTTCTGCTCATGCTGTGCATTTGCAGAAGCTTAGATGTTACCACTGTTATTATCCAAAAGCCCTTCGTAAGCTCAGAGTAGATATTCTGGGCAATGCACATCATAAGGCTGCCCAGAAATGGCCCTCCTCTCTTGGGACTTATAACTAAGGCATTTAGTTCCTTCTGGGCAAGACAGAATAGAAATGTTAAATCTGTCTATGATTAGGTGATGCCCAGTTCACACTATATAATAGGGACAAAGAGAAACAATTCCTGAGGAAGGGGCTGGTCAGAGGTGGCAGATGGGAGCCCATCGTCCAGCCCAAGTGGAGGTAGAAGGTGAAGTTACTCTACGTTGCCCAGGCTTTGTTACACAGAGTGCATTCCTAAAGCCAGGAATAGCATTCCAGCTCTTGACACATCTGGTAGGATGTTGACTGAAATCACAGATTACTTTGGATTTACAGTATAACTGAGCCAGTGCCCTGGGCTCTGATAATCAGACAAATCCACCTGCTGATACAGTGATTTTCCACCTTTTTTTCTGACAAAGGCATAGGAGATATGATTTAGAACTTCATTTTCTGATTTCCCCCCAAATGCATTTACAATGTGAATCTGTATTTTAACATTCAAATGCTATCATATACTGCAAATGTGGACCAAGCCTATTTCCAAAAAGTCTTCAGATAGAAAACTCAGGGATATTGATATTTCCTTTCATCACATTAACCCAATTTTTATTAATAGCAATTTATTCTGTTGAAATTTCATAGACTTACAAACAGAGGTAGAAGGGACCTTAAAGACAAATAGGTCTGGGGCTGTCTGGGTGATTCAGCTGGCTAAGTGTCTATCTTTGACTCAGGTTGTGATCTCAGGGTCCTGGGATCAAGTCCTGAGTCATTGGGCTCCCTACTCAGTGGGGAGTCTGCTTTTCTCTCTCCCTCTGCCCCTCCCTCCTGCTCATACTCACTCTCTCTTTCAAATAAATAAAATCTTAAAAAAAAAAAAGACAAATAGGTCCAGTCTTGTCATTATACAGATGAGGAAACTAAGATCAGACAGGCAGGTACATGGTCATTGAAGTAGCAGAGTCCAGACGAGAGGCAGGTTTCTACAAACCTTCTTCATAGCATCACATCACAATGCACCCTTTGAAAAAAACTCCTTGAGAGGCTTTAAAGTCAGATCAGGGTATATATATATATATAATATGGGATTCTGTGTTGGCTGGAGACAGCTTTGGGTGTCACCAAACTAGGCCTGGCAAGTCCAGTAGGACAGGAAGCTCCTTGAGGCCCTGGCAAACTCCCATTCATCAACTTTCATCTGCATGCTCATGGGCCCTCCTGCAAAGGTCTGCCGCATAAGTAAAGAGCTCACCAAGAACTTGTTGACTCTCACAGTTCTTAGTGAGCTCTTTACTTGGGTTAATGTGGTGATAACATAGGAGGCTGTGCATCTGAGTGAGGAGAGTTATCTGCCCTTGGGAAATGCTGAAGTGTCCAGACAATGTAGGATTAAGTGCAAATAAAAGTTCAAGGAGCTTGGATTTAAATCTGTTTTTGTATTAACTTGCTGTTCAGCCTTGGTCAAATCCCTCAATCTCTCTGAGCATTAGTAAAATGACAATGATCATATCTATTTCAGAGGGATGTGAGAAAATATATATGGAGACCAAGGCATGGGCCTACCTCTAAGTAAACACTCAATAAGTAGGAACTGGTCTATGAGGATCTATTTTGTTGTTAGTTTAAATGGGGAGGCATTGTTTTCAGGCTTCCTCTACTCACCTCCTTTCAATCTGGAAATGTCTCTTTTTTTCTTCCCCCTCTTCCTTCTTTGATGGGCTGGCTGATCATGGCCCATTTACCCTTGCCCTGAGCTTCTGCTAATGAGGAGGTGGTTGCTAAGAGAGGCTGGACATACCTCACTCCATCCACACATACCCACTTGTCTCTCTCATCTTCTGTGTTTAGATTCTGCAAAGACTTGAAGAAATTGACAAACTGGGATGGCTACCCCTGACAGGAGAGTGGTCTCTAGACCCCAGAGATCTGGCCAGGGTCCAAAGGAGAGTGGGGCCTGCATGGGTCCCCAGGACAATTTGGAATGCAAGGAGACCCAGGAGCTGTCCATGCTGAGCAAGGCACAGGAATTCTTTCAGACCTGTGACACCGAAGGCAAGGGCTTCATCGCCAGGAAGGACATGCAGGTAAGAGGCCTACCCACCCGGAATGCCAAATGGTATGGGTCTTCCTGTCTTGGGTTAGGGGTTGCCCCAGTGGGGGCAGAAGAAAACGCTATCTACTCTTCCCTGGAAGGAAGTGTCAGCCCAAACTCTACTGGGAGCCAGATCTCCTGGGTTCATTCCTATTCTGGCTTTTGCTTGCTGTCACACTCAGAGATTATTTCCCTTCTCTGACTCAGTAACTCCCAGGACTACAGAAAATGGCGACAGCAACATAAGGAACTTGGGTGAGACATGGCAGAGAACCTTCTGAAACAAAGTGGGAGGCACCAGCTTGTTGCTTCACAGCAAAGCCTTGAGCTAGACCAGGGTGCTATGTGTGCCTTCAGAGCAGGCACAGTGGCAGGTGCAAGGACCAGAGAGAAAGATGCTTCTAGAGCTCCTTATCTGTCCCTAGCTCTCACACTCAACCACACTTAACTTCTTGTAAATATGTCCCAAGAGAGATACTTCAGAAACCCAGTGCACACCATTGCTTGGTGCAGAGCTCAGCAAACTCTCTGTAAACGGCCAAAGAATAAGGATTTTAGGTTCTGTGGGTCGTGTGCACCGCCATGACCATTCAGCATCGTGTTGCCCCAGGCAACATGTAAACAGCTGAGCTTGGCTCTGTTCCAATAAAACTTTATTTGTGGACACTGAAATTTGAATTTTATATGATTGTTGCGTGTCACAAAATATTCTTCTTCTGCCTTTTTCCCAACCATTTAACATTATACTGTACACTTGAAACTAATATGGTATATTAATTATACTTGAATAAAAATAATAAAAATGTAAAAGACATTCTTAGTTCACTGGCCATAAAAAACAGGTGATGGGTCTGATTTATAGCCCAGGGGTGTCACTTTACCACCCCTGGTCTAGTGCCTTTCCCCCATGAGTGTCAAAAACTTCCTCTCGGTATGTTACTTACATCCCTAATGCTACAGTCATGATTTCATCTGATATGAATAAATAAAATGCATCCTCAATCAGAGCATGCTTAAAGCAACCCTGCCTCCAGTCCTTTCATCATTTGCTTTGTCAAGATGCTGTTGGAAAGGAAGTCTTATAATGGTCAAGTTTTCTTTTTTTAAATTTAGGTTTTTGGAATACACTAAAGTTGAGCAGTGGAATATAGACCCTCATGGGCACCAGCCCCAGATGGGCTCACACATGGGAGCTGTGAAGAGATGAGCCTTGTGGCCTGGGTGAAAGGCAGCGGGTCTTTCTCTCCCTGGCCCCACAGGATGGTGTTTTCAGGCTTCAGGTGTTCCTAAAGCTCTTCCACTGTACAGTAGCTGCAAATTGAGGGCAAAGTACTGGAGGATGGGGCCAGTTTCACCCACAAGTGAGCTCCAAACACCCTTGTTTTCAGCGTTGATCACCCAATACATTTCTGGCACCAGCACTCATTTCCCAAGTCTCCCTTCCCATGGCAGGCTAGACTCAGTGTGCTTTGAGGAAATCTTTAATCTACCCTGTCTATGAACTTCATAATTATCCTTCAAAGGTTTGTGGGAGTGGTGGTTGGTCATGGTGTTTTAATGGCATGCTTAACTTTTGATTTTCCCTTCTGGAAAAAAAACGGAATTCACATTTACCGAGAGGGTCACCTGTTGGCCACATGCATGGTGCAAGTCAGCACTTCCACTCTGTATCTTTCCCAATTAACCCTCACTGTGGCCCACTCTTTAATGAAGGGAGGAAGAGGCATGGTGACTAAGGTATAAAGTCTAGATTGTTAGACATCATTTGTATTTGGCATGGGTGGAAGTCCTAACCATTGAGTTCCAGAGATACCAACTCAGCTACATTTCTCCTCGGTTCTTGCTCCTGACCCTGGCACGCGAAGAAGGGGATAGGCATCCTACCTGGCAGATGCTTGCACATCCTTAGCATTCATTTCTACCAGCTCCATTTTCCCCTGAAGCTTCTGTGTACCTGTGGACAGTGAAGCATTTCAAATTTTCCATTCTTCAGGCTGAGAGAGTACCATCAAAAGCACTGCTGTCTCTTGCTGCTTTCCCTGGTCCTGTCTGGGGCAAGACGGGCTGGAAAAATACTATGTGGAGACCACTAACCAACATATAGTCAACCTTGGGCTTTCTGTGGAAACTCCGTGTGCCCCTTGGGTTCACCTCTCACAGTTCTTGGTGAGCTCTTTACTTGGGTTAATGTGGTGATAACATAGGAGGCTGTGCATCTGAGTGAGGAGAGTTGTCTGCCCTTAGGAAATGCTGAAGTGTCCAGACAATGTAGGATTAAGTGCAAATAAAAGTTCAAGGAGCTTGGATTTAAATCTGTTTTTGTATTAACTTGTTGTTCAGCCTTGGTCAAATCCCTCAATCTCTCTGAGCATCAGTAAAATGACAATGATCATATCTATTTCAGAGGGATGTGAGAAAATATAGGCATGGGCCTACCTCTAAGTAAACACTCAATAAGTAGGAGCTGGTCTATGAGGATCTATTTTGTTGCTAGAGACAGCTGTAGCTTTAGCTGCTTTGCCAGGAAATCACCCCACTTCGGTTGGTGGTCAGCTCGCTGGACCTGGTTGCCAACACCTTATTCACCTCTAGCTCCTAGCTCAGCCTCATGGAAACTGAAAGCAGAAGCACTCAGATTGTGCACACACACAAACACACACACATATACACACACACAAATTTGGCCATGAAGGAAGGCTCTTTGAAGCACACCCCTTAAGGAAGGAGAGGCCGTGAGTCAGATGGGAGGGCCAACGTAGAGGCTGGAAGAGGTGAGTGGAGAAACAGTTGGAAGGAGCCATGCAGGGCTTGCTGTCCTTTTGAAAAAGGAATGACACAGAGAGAGTTAAGCTCCTCCCCTGGTGCTCTTGTTCTTCTTGCTCCTGAATGACCAAAAAAGCATTTGCAGAGGGCCAGATGGATTTTGCATTTATCAGAGAGGCAGGGGAGATGGCCACAGCACCTGAGCCCCAGCAGTATGGAGCCAGCCCACTCTGAGAGAGCAGGGACCACAGAAGGAAAGGAGCAGGGTCTGCACTCTCTCCTCCACAAGGAACCTCTCTGGGTTTCATGGGGATCAATCCAGGCAGAATTGGGGTGAAGACTGCTTTGTGGGGTGAGGTCTGGTACAGCCCCTTAGACAAACAGAGTCAGGGGGCTGAGGGCTGTGACTGGAAGTCATTCCTGCCTCCAAGGGACAGAGAGATTCGAGAAGCTGGGCTAGAATAAGTCATGAAGGGACTCCTTCAGTCCAGAGAGGATGATGGGGTCAGTTTGGGCAGGAGATCTCTGAAGAAACCTAGAGCCTCAAAAACCCTGTTTCCTTGATTTTTCAGAGTGAAATGATTACCTACCAATGCCAAGTGTCTATCTCCCAACACTGCCTAGAGTTCCTCGACTAGCCAAACTGTTAAGAATCATCTGGGAGAAAAAAAAAAAAAAAAGAAGAAGAAGAATCATCTGGGAGTTGGTGGCAAACCGACCAAATAGTGCCTCCTTGTGCAAAGTAAAGTTTTATTGGAACACAGCTGTGCTCATTCATTTACAAGTGTCCATGGCAGCTTCTGTGCTCCAGTGAATAGCTGACAAAGACCAAGTGGCCTGCACAGCCTAAAAATACGTGTTATCTAGTCCTTTACAGAAAAAGTTAGATGATTCTTGGCTTAGGTTAACAAAAAGACTTTCTAGGATTTTTGTAGCAAATTGAACTGAATTTTAACCCTGAGTCTGCAATTTAGTAGCATATGAATTTGTGTGGCTCTTAAGCCCTCTAGGGCTTCATCTGTGAATTATTTATGCTATGCTACCTCCCAGCGTTAGAAGAGAATTGAATGAGTGTACGAATGTAGAGCACTTGGCTCTGAGGCCAGGACTTGGATATCCCTCCATAAATATACGTGTGTGTGTGTGTGTGTGTGTGTGTGTGTGTGTGTGTTGGGAGTGGGAGATGGGGAATTGTGTCCCATGTCTTATCTCAGCCTGATGTACTCCACACTGTGATTTTTTAAATTGTGGCAAAATACACATAACATAAAATTTACCATCTTAACCATTTGCTGTAGCTCAACGGCCTTAAGCACATTCATACTGTTATGCAACCATCACCATCATCATCTCTAGAACCATTAGCAACTTCCAGAATGGAAACTCTGTACCCATTAAATGCTAACTCCCATTGCCTCCTGCCTGCAGCCTCTGGCAACAACCATTGTACTTTCTTTCTGTCTCTATGAATTTTACTGCTCTAAATTCCTCATGTAAGTGGGACCACACAGTATCTGCCCCTTTATGACTGGCTTATTTCACATGGCATAATGTCTTCAAGGTTTATCCATGTTGTAGCAGGTGTCAGAATTACCTTCCTTTATAAGGTTAGATAATATTTCATTGTACCTATATACTACACATTGTTCATCCATTCATCCATCAGTGGACACCTGGGCTGCTTCACACCCTCAAGTGAGAATAATGCTGCTGCGAACAGGGGTGTGAAAGACTCTTTGAGTCCCTGCTTTCAATTTTTTTGGGTAGATATCCAGAAGTGGAATTGCTGGATCATATGGTAATTCTACTTCTAATTTTTTGAAGAACCACAATACTGTTATCCATAACCGCCAAACCATCATTCTTTGATTTTAAGTGCAAGTCATCTGTACTTCCTTGGAGATAAGGAAAAGACACTCATGCTGAAGAAGGAGTCTTCCACTCCTATCCAGCCAGTGTTGTTGTTTGTGTCCACTCCACATGAGTGGGGCAGTTTCACTTCTTGGAGGACATTTGGTGATGTCTGGAAACATTTTCGATCGAAAGTACTAGAGAGGGAGGTGCTACTGGCATCTTCTGCTCATACCCTATAATGCACAGGTCAGCTTCCCTCCCTCCCCCAACAAAGAATTAACCATTCTAACATTTCAGTAGTGCAGAGGTTAAGAAACCCTAGGCTATACCAAACAGCCTGAACCAAGCACATGAAATCATAAAGCAGAATAAAGGTGTAGATCTCACCTCTCAGACCTTGAATTCTCACCCTGAAGGTGTTTGATATGGCTGAGCTATGGCATGGGAAGAGAGTAGCTGGTGCTGGAATAGAGGTCTCAATAGGATGCTGTTGAAGCCCCCAGAGGAGGGAGACTTTAATTCTGACTGTAAAGCTGGATCTCTTTTGGTTTTCTCTTTAATGAGTTTTCTTTGGATATGTTTGAAGTTGTGCACCCCTTCACTTTCAGCAGCATAAAGCATGTTACTGGGCTAGTGACCAGGAAGGTAGAGGGGTCTGGCTGGTGCATAGCAGAAGACAGCATTTTTCATGGTTCTGGGAGTCCCAGGCCTCAGCACTGCTGCTGCAGGATTGCTTCCTGTTCCACGTCCTGGAAAATGTCCAGTCTGTAAGACCTTGCAGAGCATCAGCAGGAGTGCTGGTCAGGATCAGAAGCATGAGAGATCCAGACCAATGCCCCTTAAATAGGAGTTCAGGCTCTCCTGCCATCATTCTTAGACACTCATTCATTCATTCATTCATTCATTCAACAAGTGTCTGAATACTTCCTATTGGTCATCCCTGAGCTATCTAGGAACACGATAGTAAGTGAAAATGAACAGGATCCCTGTCTCAGAGCTTCCAGTCCACTGAAGGACCAGACATTCAAAAACTAATTGCATCTATCAGTATATAAAATACAAGCTGATGTGAGGCTAATAAAAGAAGGAAATGTGTTTAGGGGACCTACATACCCTGGCCTACCCCAGGGGGCTGCAGAACCTGAATGAGGTAGGAATTCAGAGCTAGCTTGATGGCAGTGGTGGGAGGCAGGCTTTCATGGAGTGGTGGAGTTTTACAGAGCTGCTTAGGCATGGGGCATGACAGCATGAATAGGGTGAGCTCACTTTCCATTTCTCCTCCTTCCCTGCCTGCCCTTCCAGATGGAAATGAAACAGTATGTACAAGTGAAACAGGCTCTCTAGAAGGCTAGTACGTGGTGTTGCTGGTAAAAGAAACTTTTGGTGGTAGATGGGTAGGTGCGGAATGGTAATGCCCAACAGGGAATTCTAGAAAGAACATGGCAGAGGACCATTTGACTGTAGCTGAAGTCCTGAATGGGAAATCAGCTCTTTAATCCCAGCACTGGTCTCCACTGTGACTTTAGGCAAATCTGGAGCCTTTCAGGCTATCTGATCAGTGCAATGGATAGTCTTGTCCTCCTTTGCTCTGCTTACCTCAGTGAATTGAAAATGTAGACAGTACCAGGTGCTCAGGGGACAAGGCCAGAATGAATTGATTTTACATGGCTTTGCAGGACCTGAGAACAAAGATAAACAAGAAGTGATTATGGTTATTAAGAATAAAGGATTTTTCAAATAGGGCCAACAAAGAGAAGTTAAAGAATCTGGTGTGGTACAGAGAAGGCTAAAGGAGAACTTGGTACTAATTTGCTGGGACAGGAAGAGTAAGAACTCCTGGGAGGATCTAAGATCACTTGTCCCAGGTTCACTGACGACAAAAAGAGGAAACCAGCTTGAGTCATAGACCAGAGAGGCTGGGGTTAGGTGATGGAGGGACTTGTGTTAGATTCAGGAATGGAGCCTCAGGGCGGGGTATGACAGCTTTTCGAGATTCACGCTAGCGATAGAAGAGGTACCCACATGCTGGATGGTTTGGGTGAAAGGCAGATTGAGGGTCCCACCAACCTCTGCAGCCCCCTTGCAGCCCATCTCTAGCTCCAGCACTGTGTGAGGCATATCTCAGGTCAGATCCAACAGTCCTAGGCTGACAGTGGGGAGGGAGGAGGGAGGATCACCTAGAGGAACAGACCAGAGTCACTTGGGTTTTCCCTCTACATCCCATTTGATGCCTTTGGTTTCCAGCGGAGCTAATAAACTTCCTCCTTGCAAAATTGACTCACTCCTCACCCCACCTCCCTCATTCTCGTACTGTGGCTTTTGAGACAGCTGGTTTAAGGATTGTTGATAAGCCAGAGATTCTGCTGTATGCTAAGCACATGTACTTCTAGATGCTTTGCACACACTCTAACTCCCTTCCTTTCTAAAAAACTCATTCATATTTAATTCAGTTCTTCTAAATGGCTTCCACAGCATCCTATCTTTCTACTTTGTAATGCACCACAGTCTCCCTTAATACACTATCTGCCAAATTAAACTTTATGACTTATCAGCTAGAAGATTGCCATAGGATCAAGCCAAGTGTTCTTGCAAGTCATGTTGTGGGCTTTCACACCTGCTGGCTCATTTTCATTGTTCACATGGGTATGTACCTTTCTCCTACGACCCTGTGCTCCTTGTCTTCAGCTGCCAGTTACTTGGATGCTGGCAATCTTGTGCAGCTGTCTCTTGGGTAAGGGAGGAAGAAGATCAGCTGGGCTGTAATGAACTCCCCTGGGGAGTCTGGGGACTTAGATTATTAGGGCAGAAGAGAACACTTGCTTCAACTATGCTGATCAGCCTTGACCTGGGGCCACTGCACATGAGGCAGAAAGCCAGAGGGAAGTGTCAGGAACTTAGCCACTTGCTCCTTATCCCAACAGCAGCTGGTCCCTCCCCTCCTATCCTGCATCCTGCATGGTCCCTAGTCAGGCCTGGATTTAGGTTCAGCTTTTATTTAAAGCTGCCTTGTGCACCACCCTGTCCAGTTCCCCTTTAGAACACAAATGCTCTTGGAGGATTGATACCTTAAGCACATGGCAGTTAACATCTTTTCAGGAATGAGTTGAGAGCCAATAGGAAGCAGAAGGGGGGGACATAGCCTGAAGTGATGGGTGTAGGTCACTTACACAAAAGAAGGGAGCTTATCTACCATCCCCTCAGGGCCAAAGGATCAAAATGTGTGTCCACAGAAATTGACAAATGTGCTGAGACCCAGGGACATGAGTGGTTCTATGAAGGGAGGCTTCCGAGTGTGACCCGTACCTATGTCTTAGCAGGGGAGGTAGCATGGCAGAGGATGGGGCTTGCAGAGACAGGGAGGACTGGGCGAAACCTGGCTCCTTTGTCATTCACTTTCTGGCTGGCCTTGGTGGGTCAGTGGATCGCTCTGTCTGTCTGTCCCGCTCTCTTTCTCCCTACTACCTTTTATTGAATGCTTCCCCTGGGCCAAGTTATTTATGTTTGCTATCTCATTTAACTTGACAACGGAATGTCATGTAGCTTATAGCCCACAACAGGATTCAGTCCTGCACAGTTTCCATTCTTTATGGTTGTGAAGAGGGCCAGCTTTGGAGTCAGGCCTGGATTTGACTCCTGGTGTGGTTCTTTACTGGCTAGGTGACCTTTGGGCAAGGAACTTTAACCTCATACTTCCAGTAGAAAGTGGTGATAATAATGCCCACCTAAAGGATTGTCATGAGAATTAAATACAAGTACGCATATTTATAAATATATTGATAAATATTTATTTGTTTGTCAATCGCCTAGAAAATTGCCTAGCACATTAGTAGGCACCTGGTAAATCATCGATGTTGTAACATTCAAAGGAGGAGAAGCACGGTAAAGGGATATTTTGTGGGACAGGGCCAGCTCTAGACATTTTTGGCAGGAAGCTCTGCTGAGCTGAGTGTTAACCAGTGCAGTCTGGATTGTTTTCAGAGGCTCCATGAGGAATTGCCTCTCAGCCTGGAGGAATTGGAGGATGTATTCGATGCCCTGGATGCTGACGGCAATGGCTTCCTGACACCAGAGGAGTTCACCACTGGATTCAGTAAGTTCTGATGGGTGCCAGGGCCCCAGGGCATGCATCTACCTAAAGCTATGGAAGGGCACACCTCTGCCACCAGATCTGTGGGTTTGTGTAGCACAAGCTTCCCAGCTCTCCGGAAACTTCTAAGCTTTGGATTATTTGGGCCTCATTCTGTGTCCATGGCAGCTGTTCACACCATTGTTCTCTCAGTACCCACAACACTGTCATGGCCAGGTCCCCTCCCACCTGAGAGGGGTAAGGGGTATGCAGGGAAACTCAGGTAGAAGCCTTGTCACAAAAGGGGGAGCCGAGATAAGATTTCCAGCCTCTCTATCTCCTTTTCTTTCCATGTTACCAGTGTGCAACAAAGTGGGGTGGCTGAAATGGTTCATTTCAACCTGGGTCTGGCTGAGTTTTTTTTTTTAATTTTTATTTATTTATGATAGTCACACACACACACACACACACACACACAGAGAGAGAGAGAGAGGCAGAGACACAGGCAGAGGGAGAAGCAGGCTCCATGCTCCGGGAGCCCTACGTGGGATTCGATCCTGGGTCTCCAGGATCGTGCCCCAGGCCAAAGGCAGGCGCTAAACTGCTGCGCCACCCAGGGATCCCCTGGCTGAGTTTTCCAGATGGAGGGGAACACACTGTCAGAGGACTTTCTAGAGGGTTTGAATAGACCAGTCATTCTCAAGGTACCCAGGAGGAAAGAGACCAGAGATTCATAAACGAGATAAAGAAACCTGATACACCATCAGATCAGATAGCGATCAGGTATTGATCAGAGCAGGTACTGGTCAGTGGGCAAGTTTTATCACACATCTGCCTCAAACAAAGTGCCATATAGTTTGTTTGGAAGTGGTTGAGGCCTTTCCTGACCTCTAGGAGCTTATAACTGCCTTGAGAGCATAAGACAGATCGCTGTATATTACAGGCAGTCTGAGTATGGAGAAAGTGCACCCAAAATTGTTAATCGTTTGTGAACGTGAAGCACGGTGATCCCAGTGGTGGGAATGACTAGCTTATGCTTCGGAGCGCAGTCAGGCTGCTGGAGGTCGGTGGAGGGAAGCCTCTTGTCCAGAGAGGAAATCAGTGAAGAGATGAGCTCAAAGCTAGATTTTAAGGTCTAGGAACCACAAAGGCGCCATCGTACCGTCATCCATTCTGCCTTTCCCAGGTTCTAGCGTCTCTCAGCGTCTCGTGGAAGTGGGAGAGCCCCCAAACCCAGGAGATAGTGTCCAGGAATGCTTGCTGTAGGGGGGTTGCCCTTTTCTTCTTTTGGATGAGCCTCACACGATTCCTGGCAACTAAGAATGAGAAGGTCTTCCTGGGTGAGTATTGCTCGCTAAATTCAGATCCGGTGCTGTGTGTCCCCCCAGGTCACTTCTTCTTCAGCCAGAACAAGCCAGGTCAAGAAGATGCAGGGGAACAGGTGGCCCAGCTGCAGGAAGAGAAGGTGTACCAGTCCAGAGGGGAAGAGCATGTGGGCCACATGGATGACGATGAGGAGACCCAGTTCCAAACACTGATGGACAAACTTGGAGCCTCGAGGGTTTTGGAAGAGTAAGTGGTGACAGGGACTGGGGGATGGAGCCCAGCCTGGGAGCCACTGCTTCATCTGCCCCGTGCAACATTAGTGTTTGTTAGTGCTCAGCCATGCCCCAGGTTCTGGGCTGCCAGTTAGGAGACTTGCTCTGTCCAGCCTGCCCTTGGCAGACACTTGTCTCTGTTTCTTGTATTTTTCTTTTCTTTTTTTAGATTTTATTGATTTAATCACGAGAGGCACAGAGACAGAGAGAGGCAGAGACACAGGCAGAGGGAGAAACAGGCTTCCTGGGGGAACCCGATGTTGGACTCAATCCTGGGATGCCAGGATCATGCCCTAAGCCAAAGGCAGACATTCAACTACTGAGCCACCCAGGCATCCATGCTTTTTGCATTTTTCTCAGGGGGAAACACGGCTATGCCTCTCCTCACTCCTACCTGACGGTATCAGCACAGTCCTTGGCTCTGTGAGGACAGCTGTCACAGACGGCTGCACCAGGCTTGGATGGGTTCTCCGGCCATTTTGCTACGGGCTCCCTGTCACTGCCACCTCACCAGCATTTCCACCTCCCCCAGAGTCAACCCTGGGGGGCTGCAGGGCATCCTGGCCAGCTCCACAGCAGCATGCTCCTGGCAAAGGCACCTCATGTGGAGGCATTTGCACACTGCATCCCTGAGCCAAACCAAACCCATCAGGAAGCTGAGGTGGGAAATTAATCAGTTTTTTCCAGCCCACCACTTGGATAATCAGTGATTCAGCTGAAAATTTCAGATAGCTGGAACTTCAAATAAAACATAATACCCCCATTTTTTTTTTCGAAATGGATCTGACATTTAAGATGAAATGAAACGAAACAAAAATAGGATAAAATAAGATAAAAAGTGGTGTGGTAGCTGGGGAAACCAGTAGCTTAAAAACATGGAATACTGTGATCTTCTCCCTTTTCCCATTGCATTTTGCCTTTCTACTTCTGGGCCTTTTGGTCTTGGGTTGGGTTATGTTTCAGGAGAGGGAATGGCCTAATGATTGGAGCTGATGTGTCCCGAGCTTGGGAAGAAAAGTAACCCAAGGTTGAGAATGATGAAGAAGTAGCAGGAAAGGAGGGGCCTCCACACAACACACAGGCCAAAGCATCAGTCTGTAGCTCTGCAGATTTTGAGCAAACTATTTGATAGACTACGTCAGAGTTGAGAAAGGCTGGCCAAAACCTGTGGCCAGACAAGAAAAGACAGGCAAAGGCCTGCGAGAGAGCCTGGTGAGAGGCTCTGGATGGGCAGTGCACTTGCCCCCAGGGGCAGTGGTGACAGCAGGGCAACCCCGCTGCAGGCCTGGAAGGGGTTGGGCAGGGGCAGATCTGCAGAGTGTGGATGAGGGCAGGTGGGTGGGAAGTGTGTTAGTCAGAGAACTGACTCAGCTTCTCCAAGGACAAGAGACCAGAGCATAGTGACCATGCCAGTGACCCCGTGAAGCCTCCTCCTGGAGGAGTGGGAGGAGGGCCCATATGGGTGATCCATAGCACTGTCAGGATAGAGAGGCACCTCTCCGTCCATCCCTCCTTTCTGGGGCAGCCCCCCCTTCCTTGCAAAGGCTCTCAAAACAGAGTTCACCCAATGTTCTTCTGAGGGCCTCTGTAGAGGCTTGTGGAGAACTGAGGCAACATGAGGCATTCTGGGGGAGAAAAGGCTCTAGGGAAGGTTTCAGAAGTGGTCACAGAAATTGATATGCAGAAGATGGCAGCCAGCACTCTCCATCCCCATGGAAGCTAAACAGAAGGCAGTGGCTGTTGTTGCAGCATGAGAGGAATGGCAAGACCATGGGGCCCCAGATAAGGACATAAAGGAGGCTGTGAAGACTTTGGAGGTCTTTGAAGGAACCACTCCCCAGAATAGCTTGTATGTTGTTCTGGAAGTAGGCAGATGAGTCAACTGAAATCCCAGAATCCCATCTAGTCCTGCACCCCTTACACCCTTCTACGAGGAGCAGAAACAGTAGACTGGACGTCCAAACTCCCAGCTTCTCCCAGTGGTCTGATTGGCTGAGTGATTTGACAGTGTATGGGCCTTCACTTATTTTTTATCAAGAATTTATGGGTTGTCCCTTCTTCAGAAATCTGGGGGGGAGGTGATACATCCATGATGAAGTGATTCAATGAGCTTTGGAAGAGGGTCAGGTGGGTCTGCAAATCTCACTGGAGGCTCTAGCCAATTGGCTCCTCCAGCAAGAACGTGGCAGGTATGAACAGAGAGACCAAAGCTAGCAAAGTGGACCTTGATTTTATAATGCATTCACTTCATGAAGGGAGCAGCCTGTCCCAATGATGAGAGGCCATCGTCATATGTCTCTGGGATCTGTGTATCTCAACCCCTTATACCATCTCCATCATATCTGCGGTACAGTAAAGTGGGCCACCATAGCATGTTCCATGTGGGGGAAATGGAACTCATTCTGGAAACAAGGGAGGACCCTACTTTCCTTCCCTTGTTTCCCAGATCACCTCATGTCATATCAGCCCTGGGTTCTAACAGATAAGAAGTACTCATTGGGTGACAGGCGGATGTGTGGTCCAGATGAGTTGGAGGACTGCAAGGGAGGAAAAGTGGGAGGGACAATGGATGGATGATCTGCTAACTAGTCAGAAGTAGGTTTACGTCTCAGTGGGCCTCCCTCTGCTGGGTGCAAAGAGTCCTCTGCGTGCCCAGGCCCATTGCTAACATGGCACTGTTAGATGTCATTTCAGAGGAAGGTTGCTCCCATCTAGTACTTGTAACACAAGAACAAAGGATTTTATTCTTTATCCTAAGGGTTCCTGGTTGTAGCTACCCTCAGATCTTTGTGGTTTTAGAATTTCATGGGTTGCAGATCAGACTGCTCCCTGGCTCTGTAGGATGGTTGGCCAGAGATTTTGGGGTTTCTCCAGAGAGGGATAGCATGCCACTGCCTCCTTCTTCCTGTCACCGAACTGTGTGGCCCTGTGTATCTATGTACACACCTGCTCATTGTGCCTGTTGGCCAGGGATGAGGCTGGCAGGAGGGAGGCTCTGGGCTTGTCACTCTGTGTCTTTTTCCCTCTGCATGCCTGTGAAAGCTTTCCATTTGTCATTCCATTTGTGTGCATACATCTCGCAGATTTGTGTCTTCCCTTCCTGTCACTTATCAGGTTTTCCCAGTGCCATGGGGCCCCAGTGGGGTGCTGCATATTCTCTTCTGGCCCCCACAGTGGCAATTGCTTTCTGCCATCCATCAGATGGCATGTCTGTACCTCTCAGCTGCGAGGACCGTCCTTCCTGGGGCAACAAGCTTCCTTTTTTAGTTCCATGGCATTCGTCCTCACATGCACTACGCTCCTGTCCTCCTCCCTTCGTCCTGACATTCTTAGATGCTTCCAGCACATGGCTGGGCATGCTCAGCACCACCAGCCTGTCAGGAAAAACCAGAGAGGTGGAAGCAGTGGAGTGCAAGTTGAAGGAGGCCAACACAGGAGCCAGATGGCCCCAAATTTGACTCTTGACTCTGTCATTTACCAGCTGAGTGCTCTGAGACAGCTCACTTCACCCTCTTCTGGGGAAGTAGAGCACCAGCCTCCTAGTTTACCATGATGGTCAAATAAGCTGATATGCATAGAGTACCTAGCATATAGCAAGCACTCAGTAAATGCTAGCCACTGCTAGATCACTGCATGATCGAGATGTGCTGGCTGTCAGTTTCACATCTGGGGACCTTGGTGCTCCCATGCTCCGATACTAATGTCCCCCTTCCTTTTGTAGTGAAAGTGATATCAAGCAACTCTGGCTGCAGCTGAAGAAGGACAAACCTCACTTACTGTCCAGCTTTGAGGATTTCCTGACCAGGACCTTCTCCCAGCTCCAAGAAGCTCACGATGAGAAGAATGAACTGGAGTGTGCTCTGAAAAAGTGGGTACTCAGCCTTGACCATTCTCTGTACGTGTGTGTGAAAAATAGAAACACAAAGTGTGCTTTCTCATTCCATGATTCCTCCCTGTCACTGTCTGCCAGAGTGGAGGCAGGGACCCCTGGCTATTATATATATATATATATATATATATATATATATATATATATACCCTTGCTCACGTTAATCAGGCCCTCATCACATGCCAGGCACTATTTATTATTTAATGTATTTATTTTGTAAAGATTTTATTTATGTATTTGAGAATGAACAAGCATAAGCAGGGGGAGCAGCAGAAAGAGAAGGAGAAGCAGATTCCCCACTGAGCAGGGGCCTGACATGGGCCTGGATCCAAGGACCCCAGGATCATGACCTGAGCCCAAGGCAGACGCTTAACTGACTGAGCCACCTAGGCACTCCTCCTCCCTCCCCCTTTTTGAAAAGGCTAGGCACTATTTAAATATATATACCGGCTCATGTGGACTATTCACTGCTCTCCACATTTTATAGATAAAGACATCGAGGTATTAAAAAGGTAAATGACAAGCCCTGGGACATACAGCTTGTAAGTGGCAGAGCCAGCATTTGGAGCAAGACAGCCTTGCACCTGAGGCTGGTTGGAAAACAACTCTCCCTGCATCTAGACACTGAGGCCCGACACCTCGGGCCTACCCCCTACCTGCAGACCAGCCCTGGGCCCCACTGAGTCCCCTCCTGATCATTCTCTGGAGCATCACAGTCTCATATCTGTCCTGTTGCCTCTTGGCCACCAGGGCCTCTGCAGTAGTTAGTGGTTTCTCACACTTCTTTGCTTGGAGAAGGCAGCCCCAGCAAGGTGAACTCTGAACCTGGAGCCAACAGGAGTCAGCCTTGTGCCACAGGTATTGGGCCAGCCATTTAGATGTTCATTCACGTGTGGAAATGGGTGCCACCCTTGTCCATAGTCATCACATGTATGTCACAGCAGTGAGCTCACAATTGGTGAAGCACGGTGTAACTAAGGATGGTTCATAATCCTGAAGGTGTGGCCAAAACACAGGGTTGGGTTTGGGTAGCACCTGAAAGTGCGCCGAAGCGGTCCTCCCAGTAATTCTGCCAGAGATCACTCCTGTTGTGTGGGAGTCCTCAACACTTCCAGCGTAGACGATGCACCCTTCCTTGCCAAACTCCTAGTGCCTGGCACTGCCTCCTGGGGCAGGGCTTCAGAGTCCATCCTGCTAGACTTCAGAGTCTACGCTGACATGGCCTTGGTGAAAGCATACATGCCCCTGATTTAGAAAGAGATCACTATGTGTCTTACTGCGTGGATCAGCCAACCACACATTACCCTTAACATCTTTGCACCTTGTGTCTCCCCTAGATCACTCTAAAAATAACTTGTTGGAGTCCATTAGGTTTACACAGATCTGGAGAAAAAAGACCTTTAGGAGCAGGAATTATGAGAAAGTTGTGGCCAAGTAGTGCTGGAGAAAACACGGTTTGGCTGGAGGAGTGTCATGAGCATTCTGGGGAGAAGCTCCCAAGGCTCAGAGAAAGGAAGGGTTGAGGTTATGCTTCTGCACCACTTTTAGCTGGTTAAGCTGTGAGTCAAGACAGAGCTGAGTTTGCATCTTGGCTCTGCCACTTACTAGCTGTGTGATTCAAGGCTAAGTTACTTAACCTCTCTGAGTCTCAGCTTCCTTATACATAAGATAGGGGTGATAGCAAAATAAGTATTTGATGCATGTTAAAATAATAATGCTTATTATTTTAAACAAGTATGTTTCTTAGTCTTAGAGGATTCACTGGTTACAGTAGAGAGTTTGAGCCTTGATATAAGCAGTGGTGAAGTTTAAAGATCCATTTATATAACCTTCCAGATAACATGGGGTAGAGCCAGTAGCATTGGCATTGCTTGGAAATTTCTTAGGAATGCAGAATCTCAAGCCTCGCCCCAACCCTACTGAATCTGCATTGTAACAAAATGTCCAGGGGCTTTGTGGATTTGAGAAGTGGGGAGCTGGGAAACAGGAGCTCTGAATTTAAGTCATGCACGGTTCTCCAACCAGCTAGCTCTATGACCTTGCTCAAGTCTCTTGGCATCTCTGAGCCTTGGTTTTTCTCTCCTTTATAATAAGGGCCTGTATTCTTTTCTGACCCTTCCTACATACACCCCTACTTTCCTCTGACCCCAGTGTTGATCACCCTGAAGAACTACAGATACAGGTAGCATGTTGCAGAGAGGAGTACTCTTTCATCTAAGGAGGGTGAGAGTGGTCACAGCCTGAATGAGCTGGCAGTGACCCAGCTCATAGCCTGGAATCTTCCCTGCAGGGTGCTTCTCTGTGGCCCTGCACTCCCCAAGGGAGAGAGCAATGCTCTTGACTAGTTTCCGAGCTGGTTAGCCCTTGCATTCATCCTAAAGTCGCCTCTTTTAGTGTTTTTGCCCTAATTTAAAGATTAAAAAGTTATTGAGATGAAAGTCAAGGTCATTCTTGGCTGCATGTGCAAAGTTAGCTCAGCCAAAGGTTCTAGCTGTCTGTACCCATCCCCTGTCAATATCCCTGCCAGGTACAGCTGCCCTGGGTCAGCTGATGGGGGCCCACTCCTAGCTGGGCAGCTGTGGTGGGGCTGAGGGTTCCCAGAGCTCTATGGCCCTGTCCCACACCAGGGGTGTTCTCTGGGTACAGAACCAGAGACCTGCGGCTCTAGTGAGCAGAGCACTAAAATAGGAGGCAGGAGAAAACTGAGCTCTTGCGCAGGCACTGCCACTGACCAGCTAGCTGTGTGACCTCAAGTAACTAGCTTTACATCTCTGTGTGTCATTTGCCTTATTGGCAACATGAGAAAATAGGCTTGGTGTTTTTCAAACTTCCTGTGATTGTGACTCGCCAGAAAATATGCATTTGACTTTGTAACCGCCATACACTTAGGTGTGTGTGTAATTGAAAATTTCCTGAAATGGAGTTCACCCTTATTGCATGTGACATACTCTGACATTCTCTTTTATTCTTGTGTCTTCTATTAAAGAAACAAAAACGCTGGTCACTTCCCGCTTCTGGGTTATGACTGGACCAGATGATCAATAAGGGTCCTTGGAGTTCAGTAGTTGGACAAGAAGCTGGAAACCCCGATAGCATCTAGAATATTTAAATGGGAGTCTTGACAAATAACCCAGGGTGAGGTTAAGTGACTCTGAGACACCTTCTAGGAGATGAGTCGGGAAGTTTGGGGCTGTGTGTGGGAGCAGTGTGTCCAGGCATCAGTGGGAGAGGAGGAATGCTCTGGGGAATGGCCCGATTCAGGCTAGAACATCTCCCAGGCTCCTCCATGGGCTGGCTTTCCAGTGTGGAAAACTGGAAACATTTCAACTCCACCTGGAAAATGAGCACCTGTCCCAAACATGGCTGTAGTCATTGGTGCTGTGCACATAGCCTGGAGACACAGTGCATTGTTACTCTTGCCTGCACATAACAAGCACTTATTCTGTGTCCAGGTCTGAGTTGAGCAAATAGAACTCAGAGTCCCCATCTTGGAGGAGTTTATGATCACACTGATAAAGTCAAGCCCTAAAAATTCTGCCATAAAGCCCACCAGAGAATTCCTGTAGCGTTGAAATGCTAGACAGCATTGCCATTGGCAGAAGAGGCTTTTGCTTCCTCCTCCTTTTCCAAACCACACATCATATTTCTTTCTCCCATGGAGCCCAGAGAAAATGAGGCTGATTAGGGGGTGGGGGCCCTGTTCCAGCTCCCCAGGCTGGATCATGCCCCACAGGGTTACTGTTTTGCTGCAGTGAGCAAACCAGGTCCATCCCAGCTTCCACTTCAGGTTCCCTCCAGGTTCTGGGGGGAGGAGGGTGGCAGGGGAGAGGGGTGGAGGAGCCTGCAGCTAGCTTGAGTTCCTGAGACAAGCTCCTGGATAGCTGGTGTCAGGGAGACCAGCCTCGGGGGCCTTCCTTACCTCACTGCCTGGGATTTTTTTTTTTTAAATTTTATTTATTTATTCATGAGAGACACACAGAGAGAGGTAGGGACATAACAGAAGGAGAAGCATGCTCCCTGTGGGGAGCCCCATGTGGGGCTCGATTCCAGGACTCCGGGATCACGCCCTGAACCAAAGGCAAGACACTCAACCACTGAGCCACCCAGGTGCCCTGTCTTGGATTGTTTTGTTTTTGTTGTTTTGTTTTGTTTTTCACTTACATATTGGGAATAGGGGAAAGAGGCCAGTCTGGGAGCATTCAGTCTCCCACCTCCTTGTCCTTTGGAGTGAAGGTTGAGTTGGAATGCTGAGTCCAATGTTGGACTCAGTTGTATTTCCACTGGGGAGTAGCCACAGCCCCATGGGGTGCAGTGGGCACAAGGTCAAATGCAGGAACCTCAGGCTGAAGCCCAGTTCTCCCTCTAAACTTCAGAACCTGGAGGATTCCCTCGGATCTCTCCCTGGAAGTGGAGGCTACCCTGTAATAGAGCTATGCTCCTCCTGTTCACCACACAGAAGATCAGAGAACTTTACATTTAGCATGATGGATACAATGTAGGTTTAGGAAGGACTTCTGGCCATCAGAGTTACAAATTCCTTTGCCATGGAAAGCATCTTCCCAATTACCTTTTCGTGGAAGGAAAAAACAAACCAAGCTTCCGCTCTCCAGGACCTGTAGAGTGATACTGTCTGGAGGCAGCAGTAGATTCAGATATTTTGCCAGAATCACTAGGGGATGCTGAGGTCCCACCCCAGGAAGGCCGGATTCATTTGGTCTAGGGTGGGGACTCGAAGTCTGCATTTATAAACTGTCCTGAGAGATTCTGACTTTTTGAGAGAGAGCACACGCACACTAGTGAGTGCAGGGAGGGGGAGAAGGAGAGTGAGAGAGATGCCCAGTGTGAAGCCCAAAGCAGGGCTCCATCTCACAATCTTGAGATCACATCCTAAGTCAAGATCAAGAGTCAGACGCTTAACCTACTGAACCACCCAGGTGCCCCGGGATTCTGACTTTTGGCCAGAGTTGGCATCTGCCGGA